ACACACATACACACACAGACATACACACATACAGAGACACACATACACACGCGCACACACACACACACACAGAGACACATAAACACACACACAGACATATACACACGCACACAGACACACATACACACACAGACACATACACATACAGACACACACACACATAACAGACAGACACAGACACACATAGACACATACAGACACACACAGACACACATACACACACATACACATAGACACATACACACGAACACAGACACAGACACATACACACGAACACAGACACACAAACACACACATAGACACAGACACACATAGACACAGACACATAGACACATACAGACACACACACACACACACACATAGACACAGACACACAGACACACTCACACAAAGGGAGAGGCAGAGACAGTCACACACACATACACTGAGAGAGGGAGAGACAGACAGACACACGCAAACACACAAAGAGACACAGAGAGACTCTAGGGATGTATCCATTAGCAGCAATACCAGGATTATTATGAAAAGTGCTATAAAAATGTTGAAAGAGGTAAGCCACTAGGTGTAATAGCACATGCTTTTAATCCCACCCAAGAGGCAGAGACAGATGAGTCTCTTGGTTCCAGGCCACTCTGGTCTACACAGTGAGTTCCAGGCCAGTCGGGGCCACTTAGAGAGACCCTGTTTCAAAGTGCTACAATTAAACACATGTTTCACCACTCCCTCTTTTTCAGATTTTAAAATTATGATTTTTTTTGTGTTTCCACATATGCACACAGCCTGCATATCCTAGAGTGTTAGATTAATGCCATTGGCAGAGGAGATTTCAAGGTAGCTTAGTATTGACTCTGTTATGTGGTTGTCAGTGTGCAGACATAAAATGAAAAGAGCAAGCCAGTGAGCATCCCCCTCCATGGCCTCTGCATCAGCTCCTGACTCCAGGTTCCTGCCCTGCTGGGGTTCCTGTCCTGACTTCCTTTGACAATGAACTATGATACGAAAGTGTAAGCCAAATAAACCCTTTCCTCCCCAAGTTGCTTTGGTCATGGTGTTCATCACAGCAATGTTAACCCTAACTCAGACACTTCCTTGTTAGTGTTCCCCCTTGTTTGTATGATTGTTTGTTTTTGAGACAGAGTCTCACCATGTGGATGTGGCTGTCCTAGACCAGGCTGGCCTTGAACTCAGAGACCCCCCTGCCTCTGCCTCCTGCGTGCTGGGATGAAAGGTGTGTGGCACCACCCCTGACGCAGTTAGGGTTTCTATTGCTTCGATGAAACACCATGACCAGAGGTGACTCCAGGACAGGGTTTATTTCATCTCATCACAGCCCACCATTGGAGGAAGAAATTCAAGAAGCAAGCGGGAAGTGATGAACACGCTTAGTCCCAGCACTCAGGAGGCAGAGGCAGGTGGATCTCTGAGTTCAAGGCCAGCCTGGTCTACAGAGTGAGTTCCTGGACAAACAGGACTGTTACACAGAGAAACCTTGCCTCAGAAAAAAAAAATCCTTCTTCTCATAGGGCTCTAAGGTGTAAAATTGACATTAAAAACTAACCAGTGAAGGTGGGGAGCAGAGGGCAGGGATGGGAGGATACCAGGGAGGGAAACTGTGGTCGGGATGTAAAATTAAAATAAATAAATAGGAAAAACTAGCCAGCTCGTTGTATGTGAAACTCAGAGACCAATTCTGCAGAGTCAGTTCTCCTCATCCCCTGAGGATCCTGAGGACTGAGCTCCAGCTGTTAGGCTCATTGGCAAAGGCCATCAGCTTACTTGACCCACCTCACCAGCCCAAAAGAAGATAATTTAATGGCTGGGGATAGCCCTCAGTGACAAAGAACTTGCCCTATATTTGAAATAATTAACTAGCTGTTCATAATGATACATGCCTGTCACCTCATCTCATACCTGGGAGGTGGAGGGAAAGGTTAAGAATTCAGTATCATCCCTAACTACACAACTTGAAACCCTGGCTCAAAAAACAAAATAAAATACATACATAGAAAAAAAAACAAAAAAGCAACCACCTAATTAAACATTAACCACCTAAATTAAATGATAAACAATTAGATTGTATAAAGGTGTGCTTAGGAGTCTAAGCATCTATGAAAACTCCAGGTCCCTGCTGTGTTTCTCCTTGAGTGACAGCTAAAGACACTCCGCAGGGGTTCTGGAACAGTCCATAGTATGCCAGGTAACCACAGGAAAAGACATTTGAGATCATTTAGGGGGCACCGCCTGGATTATGGTTTTGTGCTGGGTTCCAAGGTGAGAACAGGCATGGTTGGCTCAAGGTTGATGTCTCGGGGATAGAAGAAGCTACAGAAGGCTTTGAGGCTGAGACGTGGTAGACATCTGGATTCCTTCCACACGAGAGCAGCTCGCACCAGGACCAACTCCAAGAACTGAAGATGGAGGTTCCTTTTCCCCCATTGCAATTGAGTCTTATCTTCCCTGCTTCCCCCAGTGGCCCAGTGGCTCCAGTCCAGGGCTTGTGGCCTCTATCTGCGCTCTGCTTCCTCTCTGGAAACACCAGGTCTTTGGAGCAGGGGGACTTGGCAGGCTCTCTCCATGGCAGTCATAGTCGCTCTCCACCTCCTCCTGTTCTGGTGCGGGTGCCCCCGGGCTGCTGCAGGTAAGGGGTAGGAGGTGGAGGGTTCTGCAGTTATTTGGAAAGTTGGAAGGGGCGGCTGCTTCTTGGCACTTCTGAAAATGCACAGAAGACAGACTTACATTGTTGGAACTCTCTTTGCTTTTATTCCCGGGGAGACCCAGAGGCACCCTGGGCCTAGTTGGATACAGTTTCCTGTGCTTTCAAAAATATCAGTATCAGGTCTGGGGATATAGCTTAAAACAGGGCTTGCCTGGCACATACAGAGCTCTCATTTCATCTCCAACCCAGAGTTTGGTCCCTATCGCCACACAAATTGGCGCACTATGCCCATCATCCCAGGATTTGAGAGGAGATGGCAAGACCAGGAGATCCAGGTGATCCTCAGCCAAGCAGTTGCTTTGATGATACAAGATGAGGGTCTTGCTATGTGGTTGTGATGCGGAATCTTCCAGTACACTACTTCTAGGCATGTCTGTGGGGGTTTCCAAAGAGTTTTAACTGAGGAGGAAAGAGCTACCTCAAATGTCAGTGTCACCATCCAGTGGGCTGGGGTTCTAGACTAACTCAAAACGGGGAAAGGACGCAGCCAGCGGAGTATAGGTGTTCCCCTTTCTCTACCCCTAAGTTCATCCAGAGGCAGGCATGTTTCTACAGCCATAAATTTCCCGCGATGATGGAGTGTTCCTTAAACCATAAGCCAAAATAAATGTTAAGTGGTGACGCACACCTTCAGTCCCAGAACTCGGGAGGCGAAGGCAGGCAGAGCTCCGAGTTCGAGGACAGCCTGATCTACAGAGTGAGTGCCAGGGCTACACAGAGAAACCCTGTCTCAAATATAATAAACAAATGAACAAATAAATGAATAAATCTTACTCCCTTAAGTTGCTTTAGCCAGGGATTTTGTCAAATCAGTATAGAAACTCGCAGCAGTCCCTGCTGGCCCTGAATGCTCAGCTCAGGAACCCCTTGTTCTGCCTCCTGAGTGCTGTGACCACAGGTGCATGCCACCACACCCAGCTTACAGGCTCCCTTATTTTTATCATTATCTGTTTGCTTTGAGACAGGGCATTGCCTTGGCTGGCCTGGCACCTCTTAGTATATCGCAACCCTCCTCCCTCAGCCTTCCCGGGTGCTGGTGTTACAGGTGTGTGTCAGGCATGGCTTAGCTCCCCATAGAAAACAAAAACAGATGAGTAGGTGTTTGGAGAGATAAGGGTGGCCTCCCTAGGTCCTATCTCAGAGCCTCTCACTGGCAAGGGAAATAGAAAGCCTTTACTCTCTGTACTCCATCTTCCCACCATACCCCCATCCCCACTCTTTCTGGGACTCATGTATCCCAGGGTTGCCTCGAACCCTTTAAGCAGCTGGGGATGACACTTCTGATTTTCCTGTCTCTGGGTGTCTGGATCTCCAGCATGTGCTGGGGACCAGAGTCAGTGCTTCATGCAAACTAGACAGGCACTCCTGCTAGCTGTGCGCTGAGCTCCATTCCCAGTCTATAAGAGACTTTTTTCTTTCAGTGTTGGGCATGGAACCCAAGAACTCAGGCAAGCACTTAACCAACTACCCTTTGCCCCAGCCCACCTCTCCTTCTTCTTAGCAGTTTCTTGAGAAATGCACTTGGGGACCCCGGAAGGAAAAGAAGGCGGGGTTAGAGATGAAGAGGGGACTTGCTGAAGGCATGGACAGCTCTAGTCTGACACCACCATTTCTCCACAGACAGCATCCAGATCATCTATGCAATCTCAGGGGAGTCAGCCGAGCTGCCGTGTCCTTCACCACCCTCGCTACTTGGGGGCCAGCTCCTATCCTGGTTCCGCAGCCCGGCAGGAGGCTCCTCCACCATCTTGGTGGCCCAGATCCAAGTAGACAGGCCAGTCTCAGATCTGGGGAAACCTGAGAATGATTCCAGGTTCAAAGTCCTCGGGAACTATTCCTTATTGCTGGAGGGGCCCAGGGATGAAGATGCCGGGCGGTACTGGTGCACTGTGATGGATCAGAACCGTAAATACCAGAACTGGAGGGTGTATGATGTCTCGGTGCTCAAAGGTGAGTTAGGGCACAAAGACCTCTGTGGACACTGGGGACTGGGGAAGACCACACAAGAAACTGAAGTGTCTTCTCTCTTGCTAGGATCTCAATTCTCTGTGAAGTCTCCAGATGGCCCCTCGTGCTCTGCCCTCCTGTGCTCTGTGGTCCCTGCCAGGCGTCTGGACTCTGTGACCTGGCTAGAGGGGAGGAACCCTGTGCGAGGACATGCTCAGTACTTCTGGGGAGAGGGCGCTGCCCTGCTATTGGTGTGCCCTGCAGAGGGGCTTCCCGAGACCAGGGGCCGTAGACCAAGGAACATCCGCTGTCTTATGCCTCAGAACAAAAGATTCAGCTTTAGCCTGGCAGGTAAAACAAGGGAGGAAATGAAGAAAAGGAAAGGGGAGTACTCTCTGGCACATCTCTCAAGGCTGGAAAAGGAGGCAAATCAGGCCAGCTTGAGGGTCTCTTCCCTGTAGGGGAAGGCTCCCCCCTCCATTGGCCAAGTCTATGATAAAAAAGGGTAGATTAGCCGGGCATTGGTGGTGCACGCCTTTAATCCCAGCACTCGGAAGGCAGAGGCAGGCGGATCTCTGTGAGTTCGAGACCAGCCTGGCATACAGAGCAAGTTCCAGGACAGCCTCCAAAGCAACACAGAGAAACCCTGTCTGAAAAAAAAATGTTGGGGGGGTGATTAAATCAACTTCTTGGAGGAACAGGCCAGACGAGCAGTCAGGAGCTACTTTGGTGGGATTTGCCAGTGTTAATAAAGGGCTTAATCTAGGAGTGGAGAGAGAGCTCTGCTAAGTGAAGTGCTTATAACACAAGCATCAGAATCCGAGTTTGAACTCAGAAGTCACATAAAAAAGCCATTCATGGTGATGCATGCTTGTAGTCCCAACACTAGGGAGGGAGGCAGACAGACCCCTGGGCTCTCAGGCCAGCTAGTCTGGCCTGTTGTGTGAGCTCTGGGCTAGTGAGAGACCTTGTCTCACAAAATAAGGTGGAACAGTACCTGAGGTTGACCTTTAGCCTCCACACATGTGTGTGAATTTACCCTCACACATGAACACACACACAGGCATGCTCACACACACACACACACACACACACACACACACACACACGCTCACTCACATGAACACACAGGCATGCTCACCCACACCCACACACGAACACACAGACACACACAGAGACATGCTCACTCACATGAACACACACACAGTCTTGCACACCCCCTCACAGGCATGCATCCCAACACCCACAGGAACACACATACACATGTTCATGTGCCCACACAAGAAAGAAATAGACTGATCTAAGCAGGGCATGGAGTCACTTGCCTCTTAGGACTTGGCAGGTAGAAGGAAAAACAGAAGCTTGAGCCTTGGCTCTATAGTGAGTTCAAAGCCAGTCTGCACTACATGTGACCTTGCTTCTTAAAAAAAAAAAAAAAAAAAAAGCATCAAAATTAAAGAAACAGACTGCGCCTTTATCTCGGGAGGCAGAGGCAGTCAATGTCTTTGAGTTCAAAGCCAGCCTGGTCGACATAGCAAATTTCAGGCCAACCAGGGCTATATATAGAGGCCCGGCCGTGTCCCCCCTTTCCAAAAAGAGAAAGTCAAGAAATAGGCCATTGTATGAGCCAAGCAGAGTTCTTCGTACCTGCAGCCCCAGGACTCGGAGGCTGAGGCAGGTGTTCAAGGCCAGTCTGGACTTCATGAGACCCTGTTTCAAAAACAACAAAAGAAAGAAACAGACTAATCTGTCATTTCTGTGGACTGCTCCGTGGCAGAGAGGGGTTTATGGGGACGCTGCCTTGTGAAGAGGGTCCCACATACTGTGGTATAATGGCCTACTGACAGGAAAGGCAGAAGCAGAGCGTGTATGATTGTTGTACAAAATAAAAGGCCATTGTTAGAGAATGAATGCTGCTAGATGTAGAATAACCCATTTGTCAGTCAGAGAGAGGAGCAAATGGCCAGTGTTTCCTGACAGAAAGATCTTGGCAAAGCCTAGAGGACGAATATGTGAATGGGTGGACCAGGGAACGAGAGGAGATGGAAGCAGAGAGAACGCGCTTTTCTTTCCCACTTTCATATGAGTGAGATGTGCATGTTTGCATGTGTATGGGTACACACGCGGACCCCCACACACACACACACACACACACACAGACCCAGACCCAGACACACACACACACACACACATGAGCGCTCGCGCACACACACACACAGAGATCCAGACACACACACACACACACACACACACAGACCCAGACCCAGACACACACACACACACACACATGAGCGCTCGCGCACACACACACACAGAGATCCAGACACACACACACACACACACACACAGACCCACACACACACACACACACACACACACGAGCGCGCACACACACACACAGAGATCCAGACACACGCGCACACACACACACACAGAGCCAGACACACACACACACACACACACACAGACCCACACACACACACACACACACACACACGAGCGCGCACACACACACACAGAGATCCAGACACACGCGCACACACACACACACAGAGCCAGACACACACACACACACACACACACAGACCCACACACACACACACACACACACACACGAGCGCGCACACACACACACAGAGATCCAGACACACGCGCACACACACACACACAGAGCCAGACACACACACACACACACACACACAGACCCACACACACACACACACACACACACACGAGCGCGCACACACACACACAGAGATCCAGACACACGCGCACACACACACACACAGAGCCAGACACACACACACACACACACACACAGACCCACACACACACACACACACACACACACGAGCGCGCACACACACACACAGAGATCCAGACACACGCGCACACACACACACACAGAGCCAGACACACACACACACACACACACACAGACCCACACACACACACACACACACACACACGAGCGCGCACACACACACACAGAGATCCAGACACACGCGCACACACACACACACAGAGCCAGACACACACACACACACACACACACAGACCCACACACACACACACACACACACACACGAGCGCGCACACACACACACAGAGATCCAGACACACGCGCACACACACACACACAGAGCCAGACACACACACACACACACACACACAGACCCACACACACACACACACACACACACACGAGCGCGCACACACACACACAGAGATCCAGACACACGCGCACACACACACACACAGAGCCAGACACACACACACACACACACACACAGACCCACACACACACACACACACACACACACGAGCGCGCACACACACACACAGAGATCCAGACACACACGCGCAGAACACACAGGCATGCTCACACACACACACACACACCCACACACACACACAGATTCAGACTCACACACACACATATGCACACACAGACCCAGAGACACACACACACACACACATGAGCGCGCACACACACACACAGAGATCCAGACACACGCGCGCACACACACACACACACACACACACACACACACAGAAGAACAAACCAAC